CACGGACACACAACCTGTCTGAGCTGGAAGATTCCTCCTGTCCGGACGTCTTTAGCAGGAACAACTTCTACAGCTGTGAACTCTCCCGCCTCATTCAGCTCCATCACCTTCACCCACAATTCAAGCTGACGGGTCACCTCGCTCCACCTGTGAGAGACCGCACCATCAGGGCACAGCAACAAGCACAGAACATAAGAAAGGTGCTCAAAGGCTGACGCTGCACCAGATCGGTGCATTCTATCTGAAGGCCAGCAGGTGGCGACAGCTGTGGTTGCAAAAGCTCTCCCTGCAGTCGATAAGATGATTACTTCCTGTTCTGACCTCTGTAAACACTTTTCTCCTTCGTATACGTTATGAATCCCTGTGGGTGGGACTCCTCTCTGCATTGAAGCCAATCACTCAGAGAAGCAGTGGGCAGCCGGTGCAGGGACGGTACCTTACTCAGGGGGAGCTCAGGGTGGTGGATTTGAACTCACTTAATTTGGCTCATATAAAATATACATTACATATAAAGTATAAACATATTCCAATAAAATGCCACCATCTGTTCCAATTTTGATGTCTTCTTGTATTCATGCTTCTCAAATCTCCCTTTTCAGATTACTGAAGTTTATTTGCTGCAGATGCGCTCGTACTGATGCACCTCTCTCTGAGGGATCTGGTCTTGGCTTGGATCACTCCCAGGTCCCACAGTGCCAGATTCCTGCGATGGTTAGCCTGTTTGTGACCGTACACTTCGATGGCCACCGCCCCCTCAGCCAGAAATTCCACAAAATCTTCCGATACCGGCACAGATAATTCCTGAAGATGACACGAGGCACGTTTTCTGTTAGTGACAACTCACCTGCTGATCACAGCTTTTACTTAACCACAGAAACGCTCCACCTTGGTGCTGTCAAACACTACAGTACACTGAGGGTCTCTGGAGGCGGACGCCGAGCTGGAAGAGGCCACCTCTGGAGCGGTGAACACCGGCTCCTCCTGCGCCCAGAAGCGATACTGGCAGAAGACAAAGTTGGACAGGTGGCGAGGAAGCCCGGTGGCCTGGAGGATTTTCACCTAGGATGAGCAGAAATGCACCTCAGAGGGAAAAGGACTTTTTCCCACAACGACAAAACACAACCAGAAGGCAGTTAAGCTAAAGTTAAGTCTGTGAAGGTTCTCAGTCATCCAGGTCATCGTAGTCAAAGGAGCTTGCAAAGAAAAGCGTCTGGACTTCTTTAAGTTGAAGACGTTTCACCTCTCATCCGAGAAGCTTCTTCAGTTCTAAGGTCAAACAGACAACATTGTCATCCCCTATGTAGCCGGCGTATCAGAGAAACTCAGGA